CAATAATAATAATAATAAAATATTTTTATAATACTAGTAAGTATACCACAATTATCACATGCACACAAGCTAGTTTAGCTAATATATTATTATTAAATCAGTTAGTTATTATTATTATTAATATTATTATTATTATTATTATTATTATTATTATGTGTTCAACTTATTATTACATTATAAGAAATTATCATTGCTATGCTAAGTTATATCAGAATTACTCAATCTTTTATTAATATTAATCATTTTAATTTCTGAATTATTGTTTTTTCTACTTTTAATTTATTTTTTATGCAACAATTCGATTGACTTTGTGCTAAAAATTTGTGTAACTATTTAGTATAAGCAAGTATTTCGCTATAAAATATCAAATTTTTAAATTGCAAAATTATAACTCTTATAAAATTGTACACTTTTTTCTCTGTTATCGAAATCAAATTGATATTTTAGATTAAGAATGGATGTTGAAGTGGCAGAACTAAAGACCAACGTGAATAATTTGTCGCAGTGCTTACACGCATTACTGAAGCGCATAGAGCAACTCGAACATTCAGCTCCGATGGACACAGAATGCTTCTACTATCCTAACAAAGGAGTTACGTTGAAGACTGTTAATGAAGCCGTGGATGGGTTATTATCTACCAAAGAGACATATGAGAGTGATTTAGAACCTGACGTACAGGTTTGCTTTCTAACATCATAAAAAGTTTCTACTTGTTATTCACGTAACGTGTATTAATTTACTAAGCTAATCAACTTCATAACAATACAGCAGTCCATTTCTGCGTTTAATTATTAAGAAAAAATAATTAATTATATTTTAATCACAAGTGCACTTATGTAATTGTTTTTTCTTAAGTATCAGATTTGCAAGAAAATTTATCATGAATTTTGACAGTTTTAGTAGCAGTGAAAATAATTTTTGACTTTTAAGTACTTGATTTCTCAAATTCCAATTAATATTAAAATTAGCAACAGCTAATTGGCATTATTTGTTTAATCTTTCGATTGTTCAGTTTTATGAATTTGTAAATTTATAAGTCTAAAATGACTTATACATTAAGCACATCAAAAAACTTTATATCTTCAAATGCATCCAAAATAGCTTCTCAAGTGTAAAGATATCTCTATTTTTAATTATTTTTGCCCACATATTTCTAATGCAGTAGTTTTTCCTAGTCGTGACAAATTCACATCATAAACTTTTGCTTCTGATGTACAGCCTCTAACGATTCTCTGCAAGTATTCATTTTAGTAAAGTGGAAATGTGCTTCGTTGATTTATCACCACAATGCTTATTCAAGAAAATTGAATTAACATTTCGTTCAGTTTTCAAAAATAGCAGAATAATATATTTATAATTTATCTCAGTCGAGTCATAGCAGAAATTTTAAACAATGCTTATACTAATAGTTCTTTCTCACTTATAATACATATAGATGAGATTTATTTCATTTATTTTAAACTTTGCAGTAATTAATTTTATAGCTATGCTTAAATCCATTTATTTCCTCCTTTATTAAACAATTCAGTTTCATATATTAATATATAAATTTAATTTTGCACAAATAATAGCTACGCTACCATAATAAATCGCTTTCAAATGACATAAGTCATTTGTAATTGTCATATTTTAAGACTGCATTTTTTTTTAATTTTTTATTTTATCACTTTTGAGTGTTCAATATATATATATATATAATTCTTAAAAAATTTTTAATTTTATTGCAACAAAAATATTTTGCCAAAATCTTTTCTGTATAACTAACTATCTAACCATTTCATTACCACACTTACATTAATTAATTTTATTTCTTTCATTTCTAACTTATTTTAACAACTTTATTCTGTAAAACATCAAAAGTTTAACTTTAAATTTTGTGCACAAAATTTGAATGAGCACAAAAAGTTTTTCATTTTGCCAATGAATAAATGATATTTGAAATTATGCAAGCAATGATTTTGTTGCAATAAACAAACTACAAATTCAGTGTTCTTCATGACATGACCTTTGCCTGCCACAATTCAGTTTAGAAAAGAAGAACAAATAACTCTGCAGGAATTGTCTTTTTGCGTAATTATTTGATAAGAAGGTTAAATCGGGTCAAAATATTAAATAAAAGTAATTAATTGCAAAGTTAAACTTGTCCAAATGTAAGAGGAATTTTTCGCACTGATGAAAACAAGTTCCTATTAAATTTCATTTTATTCGAGTATATATTTACTTACTTTACTCATTACATTCATTGCATTGAATCTTCTCTAACTTTTCATTTTTATTTTGTTTCAACTCATTTTGCATGATGTGCATTGCTGATGAACGGATAGCAGTTTAATTTAATTTAATTTAATCTAATTACTTTTACTTATTTTAAATGTTACTTTATTATTTAAAAAAACAAATGCATATGCAAAGTTTAATTTACTTTCTCATTTTTAATTATATTTTAGTTTTAATCAATTTTTGTTCAGATATCTTTATTCAGGTTGTGTGCAACGAAATGGTTACAGAAGATCCAGAAACGGGCGTCAAAAAACGTACGGTCGTAACAGAACGAGTAGTTACAACAAAATCATTTCATACAATACCTGTAGATGATGGAATTACTTTTTCAAATGAAAATCAATACGGAACAATGAACTCTGAAATGACCTTACATGATGAACCCAGAAAAACAAATACTTGGATCAAAACAGAGCCGAATGATATAAGTGACTACGATAACAACAATAAAATGTTATCTCAAGCAATGGTAAAAAATGAATTAATCTCAGATAAAGAAATGAGAACTATTGACTTGAATCAGAATCCATTTGGGGATGTATTCTATGATCGAATTGGAAATCAAATCATTATTACTCGAGTGAAATCTGGTTTTGATGCTGCAAATGTATCTTCTTACTTTCTAGTTATCTTAATATCTTGCAACGTGCGTAAAACTTTGGTAGAGAAATCAAATCATTAAATAATAATACAAATTTAACAATTTTGTGGATTAGCTAATATTGGTTTATATTGGAATCGCACTAGAAACCTGACACTAATATTGAACAAATGCTAATTTTTAAAATTTCAATCTCTGTCATAATATCAGACATGTTCATTTGATAGGATATTCGTGTAGGCGATATAATTGTTGAAGTAAATGGAATACCTACGAGTCAGATTAAACATTTGATGGAATTTCAAGGTAAAATAAGACTGAAAATGATGCCAGCACCTTTACATTGTGGCCCATCGGTAAGCTATACTCATTTACAGTGCTTTTTCTTACAACTAATCATTTGTACAAATCATTTCTGCCATAATTGGTAGTATTACCATCTATGTTTTGCAACTGCACAGTAAAACTATTTTAGGTGCAAATATATAATATATTCTTGAAAATTATAATCGCAATTGTTTCTAAACAGTACATTTAATTCAGAAAATACTTGTCATGCACTTATTGTTTGATATGCAAATATAATTGTTACAAAAATCATTTAAAGATAATTCGGTTAAGTAATTACCAATCTATGGTAGCAGTAGGTTTTATACGTTGATGATTCAGAAGTAGCAACACAGAAACAGAACTATTTCTTTACAGCAAATATTCAATTCATCTAATTAATTTAACAGTAATAAAAATTTTATTACAAACTTTAGGTATATTATCGAGCAAAATCAAACTATAATGGCTCACGGGACCCTCATGTTCCAAAAAATTTGAATGCTTTGAATTTAGAAAAGAATGAAATTATTCAAGTTTTCAGTAAGGATTCTAATTGGATTCAGGTTTTTTTTTTCAATATTCTACAGTGACATTTTTTACTTATATATTTTTAGCATTTTTTAATTTTTGTTTTTAAATTGCGATTAAAATCTTAACAAATTTGGAATATAAATCTTGAACAGTTAATTCATTTTCAAACTTTTTCATTTCAAAAACGAAATTACATTAAAAAAACCAAAAATGTTCTGCAAGTATTTTTGAATTTAAACATTTGCAGTAAATTAAATCAAAATATTTGCTGTAATAATAATGGATAAAGCAGGATATTTTATAGGGAAGAAAGGTGAATGATTTAAATCAGTCGGGATTATGCCCTGTTGATATAGCCGGAGAGAGGATGTCATTGCTTACGCCTTATAATCGTAGGGTTTTGGTGCTATTAGGAGTTCCTGGAGTCGGGCGAAGAACTTTGAAAACGATGTTTCTTGACCTCTTTCCTCAATATTTCACTACTGCGATTCCTTGTGAGTTCAGTCTGCTTCAGACATGAACTAACTTCCATTTATACTTGCATTTTTTAAATCTTTCACTAATTCTAAGATTAATGAAAACTTTATATATTCTAATCAGTTAGTTATTAGCATTCAATTCAAGTTCTCTTCATATCCATACCAAAAAAGGATAAATCAAATTTCTTATTTTATTTATTTATTTCTATATGAAGTCAATATATGAATAATTACTTGAAACTTGTAATTAAATTTTATTTTTTTAATTGCACAATTTCTGCTTAGAATATGCAAATCTTTTAAATTACAAATTTGAAGCAGTGATTCATATGAATGCTAATGTGAAGCATTTATTGCGAGTATATATATTTAAACTTTATTATTATGCGAAAAGCTATTTTTAAAATAGAATGATAAAGCTTTTATCAATCAGTAAGAGTTACTCTTAGAGATAATGATATTATTGTTCAGATACTTCTCGAGCAGCAAAATCTAACGAATTAGAGGGAAGAGAGTATTATTTTCGTACAAAAGAAGAAGTGATAAAACGAATCCAAGAAAGAGATATGATCGAATGGGGGGAATTTGATCAACATTTGTATGGCACAAGGTTATGCTTTTTTCTTCTTTTTGCATAATAATAATCAAGTTTAAAGGTTACTTATATATGTATATATATATATATATATATATAT